TCACGGGAGGGGTGCGAATAACAAAAATGGGAGGTGCGAATAACAATTCTCTAAAATCAAATTAAAAATTTTTTTTCAATAATCATGGTTGACATTTCATCAAATAAATTTATCAAGAGCACCAACACCACCAAGTGTCTAAAATCTATGTGCGGAACGCTTGCTCCGAGCATAATAATTTATTTGCGCACAGTATAATTTTAGAGATGTGTACCGTCCGACCTCGATTTTTTATTGTGGTTTAATGTGCGGGATTCAGTTAGATCAAATAAAATATTAATACATATTAATGTCAGTTCACAAATCCTTATATAAAAAATCATTATTTTTTTTCTCAATATTTTTTTCTGATGAACTTTTTCAAATATAAGATATCTTTTTATTCATTCCATTCCATTAAAGTTTTTGAAAAGTATTCAAAATTGGATAGATTTGTTATTTATAAAATAAAAGGAAAACATAATGAAGGATCCAAACAGGCAGTAACTACACAAAAGCAAAAAAAATAAGGAAATAACCAGACAAGAATTAAATAAAGTATGTGAAGATTTTGATCCAAATTGGTTACAAGTTTACCCTTGGCTTGGCTTGAAAAAGGTGAAGACAGTAGTAGAAAGGTGGCAATGTTTTTCGAAAAGTATAAACAAAATTAATCAATTGTTTTATAATTTACAGTGAATCCTCCATAAGTGCACCCCCTTGGGAATGGATGAGAGTGTGCATTTATGGAGGGATGCATTTATTAGAGGGGAATAATTTTATTGGTTGCACATGATACTAATAAAATATTTTTTATTATAGTGCAGGACCATATATAACAGTTAATTATTATCAAATGACTTTAAAAGCTTATAACTCCTTCCTTATTAAAAAAGAAAAAGAAAAAAAAAAACTGATAGAATTAAAGCTAAAGACCTAAGCTACATTTCCATCTATTTATCTTTTCATTTTATTAGAAAAGTTTTGAGTTATAAGGTTTCAAAGTTATGCTATTTCATATAGGTCCATATGTAAATTGTAAAATTTCGGAATGATCTTCCCTTGTAATTTCCTAAAAGGCCGATGATCGACTTAAAATTTTTTCGTGATACAGAAATCTTTCCAATAAAAGAAATCTGATAATTTAATTAATTTTTTATTTTATTTTCCATTACTCTTACTACACATAAATATTTAAAAAAAATTCTTGATCTTTATCCTTTGTTAATCCTTATTTTTTTTGATTTCACCTATAAATCTCACCATTTGCATTTGTGAAGGAAGAAACAAAGAGAGGTGAACCTATTAAAAATATTGCTTTGAGTTAGTTCGTTTATGTATTTGCAATTTGTTTCTTTGTAAATTAATATGCTTTTTAGATTAATATATTAACAAAACATTAATTATTTTATTATTACTGTATCCTTTTTTTAACATTAATGGTCACAAAGAAATCTTTATACACATGTTAAGCTTTAATCAAATTTTATTATGTGCTTACCAGATCCAATGAAAATAATATTACTGTGGAAGAAATTTTAAAACTTCTGGCAGTGTTGTGCCATTTATGGTTCCAATAAAATTTTCATTGGAGCATTCTTCCAACAAATTCTAATTGGAATTGAAACGTTTCAAATGAAGTTAACCAATGAAATTCAATTAGAGTGTCTCACACACAAATTTTATTGGTCAATATCAATTGAAGATCTACATTGAAACCATATTGGATCCACATTGGAACATTCCAATAGCATTACAATGTTCCAATTGCACAACACTGCTTTAATGTAACATACGCGCCCGCAAACAATTTCGCACACTGCAATACGTTAAATGCTGTGCCGCACTGCCAAATCTTCAAATCCCAAAATAGTAATGATACTCCTTTGTGTCACGGGTTTATAACATGACTCGATCATTTTATCATATTCGTTATGAATTTGAGTATTCAAATTTTTACTCAAATAAATGAATAAAACAAGTAAAACGAATAATTCGAACATGCTTTCATTAAACCATTCATCACCAAAATCTTCAGTCTCATAAACGAAATCATTATAATCAATTTCTTCTTCACTACTATCAATAATATTATTACTAATATTTATATCTTTATTGTTTTTATTATTTTCTTCGACTTCATTCTCCATCTCATTCTTCTTTTCTTTGTTAACCCACTGTTAAATTGCTTCTATCCATTTTTCTTCTAGGATTTGTTTTTCGTTGGTAGAAGTTTTTTATTGTGGAAGTAGCAACACCCATTCCCTCTGCAAAGTAATTCACGAATTTCAATAGCCATTTTGCTGAATGAAAAATTTGGATTTAGTTTAGTCTTTTTGTCAAATAATTGTAGAAATCCTTCCATAGATTTTTGATCTCTTGTGAATATTTTTTATCATTAATAAGCTTGCTTGATTATTTTTGAATTAACTTTTTCCTTGGCTTTATTTTATCAATTATTTCATCAATTTGATTTTGTGAGCTTTATATAGTGAAGTGGAAAAATAGTCCAACTAACAACAACCTGCAAAAAAGTTGGCTATTGAAAGAATGCATTTTTATTAAATTTAATCTTGTTCAGCTTTTTTTTATCATTAAATTCTGATTTGACTGAACTTGAATGTGGGAAAATTTTAGGTCTTCATTTAAATTCATATCTTTTTTTTAAAACTTTGTCAAAAGTTTTGTCTCTGAAATTTTAACACGGAAATTTTTAATAATAAGCCTGACACAAAAATATACATAATAATCATACAAAAAATTATACCGGTGTGTAATGAAAGTTCTGGAGATTATATATATAAACTTTCATACTTCCAGATTTTCTAGAATTTTGTCAATTGGAAATAAAAGGAATTTGATTATTTTGAAAAAAACAATTCAATGTGTAAATTTCTTTAATAATTGCTCTAAAGCCTACATAATAACATGCTTCAAAAATTTCATATGTTATAATCTAAGATCCTCCGATTCTCTGTTATAATTTTCATCATATAATTTTGGCTACTGTTTCATTAAAAACAATATTTTTACCAACCGCCGTTTTTTTCTTAACACCCTGTATAACAATTTTCATTTGACAGTATAAGAGAAGCACGCGTGACGTTAAAAACGCAGCCTCAATTATGTGTGGGAGAAGGTTTATCAACATTAAATACCATAGTATAAGAGAAGCACACACTGTATTAAAAACGCACCATCGCTCCTAGGTCACGCGACACCACAGGTAGAAAATTCAAAGTTTTACATGCGGTTAAAAAACGAACGTCACCGCTAAGAGAAGATGTGTCAACTATTATACTGTTCTATAAAGAGCAATACATAAATGTTAAAAAATGTTTCATGTGCACCCTATAATGACTTTTTCAGAATTAAATATTCTATCGAATTTCAGCTCACACAAGAAAGCCAAATAGTTTTATATCATAAACACTACAGTATGTAAAATTTTTTTACCACTTTACATGCGTTAACTTCTGCTAATGATAATTTTTTTTCCTCAAGTATGTCTACTATACTACTCTTCGCGTCGATTATACCTCTGGTCCATCCATTAAATGCCTGTCGAGGTATTTAGTGGCATGTTAGATCAGAACATACACGTTAGCCATGTTTCATAATCCAATTGGGTGAATCATTTGCATTTCTTAAAAACCAGTCAGAATATACATTAGTGGTCATTTTTGTTGATACAGGAGAACCTGTCTAAAAGCATAGAATTTTCTCGGCCCGGGTTGGGCCATATGTGTTATAAGCATACTGCATATATATGAACATAGACATACATGGGCATAATCACGTGCCTCATTATTTTGTAAAAAATTGACCAGGCCTTTTTGGGAATAACTAAATATTTAAACTTGATAAATGTGAACTGATTTTTATTAATATTAAAAAAAATATGAATTTTGTGACATCATAAACATATAAACAAAACCTGCTTTTTAAGAATAACCTGCTTAATAGTATAGGCCTGACTTATATATTGAAAAATTTTTCCAATAATGTGAAAGGTTATATATTATATTATGCATGTATGACATGAATGGTTTAATAATAATCCGGGGTTGGTATTATAGAGTTAAATCAAGTGATTGTCATATGATTATGGACTTTTTTACCAATTATAATAAATTCACCAAAAAAAACCACCCGCAAATTAATAAAGTGATGTATAATAAATAAAATTTTCTTAAAATCAAAAATGGTTGAGAACATAATATACGAGGATACTCCCTTTGCTGAATATCTTGCTGGTATGTATTTAACATAAAGTTCTATCAACACCTTAGGAAACTTTATTTTAATTTTTTATAAATAAAACAAAAAAGAAATTGGCCGAGAAGAGGAATTGGTAAAACAACCAGAGCCAATAGAAATGATAAGAGAGGATTCGCAGGACAATAAAGTCACAGTATCTTTATTCCAAAAATTTAAATACGATTTAACTGAATATTTAAGAGTAAGAATGTTTGTTGTGTTGCTTAACATGGATAAATATAAGAAACCATATAATAAATCGATTTTCTTTTGAATTATGTATAGGAAAATTTGTCAACGGGATTACCTTTACAAGAAGAAAATGACTTTGAGGAGCTTTTCAAATATTTATTATGTACTTCGCATCTTTTAAATGATACATTGTCAATTTATTTTTACAATGCAAAGAGACCTCCTTTGTTAGAAATAAGAGATTTTGAATTATATTGTTGTGGATTTTCAAAGAATAGTTTTGAAATTATATTTAGTTCCATAATAGGTTTAATGAGCATCCTTACAACATGGTTATTATTATTTAATGTTAATCAAGAAGATTTCATAACAAAAATGATTCAATTGAGTATACCATTTGCATTGATCTCTTTTGTGTCATATCGTTATTTGGTAAGTTATGATCTTCAGTTGGATTTTAATTATTTTAAAATTTTAAGAAGTTTTTTTAATTACAATTTTTTTTTCTAAAAAAATTAGCGAAGAAAAACCATGAGAACATTACACAAATTAGCATTATATTATATAGAGGTTCTTGTGTATCATTGTCAAGCTTTAGATCTCAAAATTAATAAAGTGTTGATTATGATTCAAGAGATCGAATTAATATCTCGTGGCTATAGATTGTCAATGCCACTTTCACCCATATCTCGTATTGAACAACATTCTAAAAATCGCCGTTGTTTAGCGCTTAGAGAAACTTTATACAATATACTTAAAGAAGCACTTGACAGTTATAAAAGCTCCATAAAAGATTTGAAGCCAGTGGTATCACAAAATAATTTAGCAATCATGTATAATATGTATAATATAAATCCAGAAAATGATGAATCTAATATAATAGATAATGAAGAAACTGATAGGCTTTCTTTAGAAAATTTAAAACAATGTTTTCAAAAAATGCATTCAAAAAGAAGAGAATGTCTGTGTCATTTACTTGCTTTAGATGTGATGACAACTGGTAGAGATTCTAATAGAAGAGACTATGAGGGCCATTGGGTAACTGTCAATACTTATTTAAATAATTTGGGAACAGTTATTGAACACTATATGAACAAAATCACTCTTGCCTCAACAAATGAACAATGTATGAATCATTTTAATTCTTATAATATTTATTATTTTAATTCTAATCTCATTTGTTTTCATTATAAGCATCTCCAAAACAAGATATGCCACAACCAAGTCCAACAATTATCAATAACAAAAAATTAAAATCTTATATTCAGCGTTTAGCATCAGTAGAGCAGCATATTCGTGCTGTTCAAGCAAAATTATATATTTGTAATGAAGATGCATGTAAAAATTTTGACATTGAAGGTAATGAATAAATGAATGAACAAATTGATATACACCTTTTCTTCAAAAATAATCAAATAAATTATTTTTTTAAAAAAAGGTACTGCCAAAGAGGATGAGAAAAATAAACTATTAAACAATTATGAATCTATAAATAAAGATTTCACTTACATGTTTCAGGAATGGGAAGAAGGAATGAAAGCTTTAAAAGAAGTAATTGGATTGACACCATCAGATGCTGATTCTTCTTCTAATCAGCTTTCACTTGATGAAGATGCTGAAACTTTAAGGGATGAAACTGATCACGAAGAAAATTATATAAAACATAATGTTGATTGGTCACAAATTGATGGTCCATTTGATGTACCAGAGCAAGTTTTTATAGCAGAAGCAGAGCCTGAAGTTTCATCAAAGAAAATGACTAGAGAAGAAAGAATAATGATTCAAAAGGCTAAAAGAGAAGATGAGGTGACTATTGCTTTTTTTATAAATTGATTCATTATTAAAATATAATTATATTTACCCATATTTTTTATAAATTTATTAGGCAAAAGCAAAGGCTGCCCGTGTAGATTCTGAACTTATGGTACATGAATTGAAAGATGTCTTAATACGGAGAAAACCTAAAAGTTCTAAAGATGAATTTCATGAAACTCCTGCAGTAGTAACAGCCAATTAATGAAAAGGTTTAAAAAATTGCTGCTTGTCCTTATCATCATCATCATCATCATCATCATCATCACAGGCAATCACTGAAATTTTTTTTTTGTACCATACATTATATCTATGCATAGTAAATTTTTATTTTTAAAAAAGTTAAATATTACTTCTTAGATTAATAAAGAAATTATAAAAATCAAATCATATTAAATAAATAACAATTTTACTTTTATGTCAGGCTTATATCATAGTTTGTGGTTGGTATTTTGTTGGTATTTGATTATATAAATTTAAACAAATCATTACTTATTGGAGTTTTTAACATAAAATTCAATTTCATGCAACATTTTTTTATTTGAAAAGGAAGTTTTTTCATAGACTTTGTTTAGAATGATGCTTTTTTTTTCCAAATTATGCTTTTTACTATACATAAATTGATGGACCATATAAAAGATTGACCTGAACAATGTTTTCATTAATGGCCACACCTATATTGCTCTTTCATGTGCAAGATCATTAGGATCCTTGCACATTATCAATTTCAGTACTGATAAAGTGAAGGTGGACCATAAAGCAAAAAAATTTTACAACCTTTTATCACCACTACCACATCATTATCTTCTGATAAAAGAAAATGATATTTCAACAACAACAACAACAACAACAACAACAACAATAATAATTATGATGATGGTGATATTAGAAATCAAATTAGAATTAACTAGAAAGGCTGAAGCTGAAGCTAAAGTTAAGAAAAGCATTTGTTTAAAATTAATTATTTTTAATCATCTTTGTTTTTATTATCTAAATATAATATATCTTTTAAATATTGTAATTAAACCAAAACATCAACAAGATCTCTTATGGGTCAATGGATACATCAAATTATTAATGACCTATTATTGTTGGCAGAATTTATGTTTATTTAAATAAGAAACCTACAAAGTGACAAAATTTATATATGGGGCATGCTGCAACAAAATTTTTTGTTGCAGCATGAACAGGAGAGAACGTCCTATATATGGAATGGATTTTCACAATTGATTTCAATTTTTTTTATACAGTTTAAAATACTTTTACAAGGGTATTACGTAGCCCAT